CCCTCTCTCACGCACAGACAGACTCTCTTGGTCAGGTAAGGACAGCTTCTTTCTCCTATTATTATTCTATTAGATTATTATTATTATTATTATATTATTATATTATATTATATTATTATATTATTATTATATTATTATATTATTATTATTATTATTATTATTATTTTATATTATTATATTATTATTATGTTATTATATTATTATATTATAATTATTATTATTATTATTATTATTATTATATTATGTTCTTAGCCCTATCACGCTAGCGGCTTTTTCCGTCAATATTTTGCGTTCCGAAAGAAGATCATGTAAACAAACATGGCGCTATCGGAGTGAGGTCCGCCGGCGAATTGCGCCACGGACATTCTCTGGTATTCGTCGATATATGAAGGAGGTATTATATTCTGTTACCACGCGGGACTGAAGAGGTGTATGTAGCATGCTTAATGATATAATATAGCTCAGTCGGGATAGATGTGTCACATATGAGGACGTAGATATCAGTACTTTAGATTGTGATGTATATTGCGCGCGCTGGTCTGGTGGCTTAGAAGTGTCATCCGAGAGGTCGCGTGGTTCAGTCAGATTCATAGTATCTAACGGTCCGATCTGCTAGTCGCTTGACGACTGGCGCACTACTACCACGATATAGCTGTGCTTGGCATCTGAGGATCCTGTGCGGTGATATACGCGCTCGGTCTGTTGTGAGGACTACGGTCTAGGATGTGGTTCGAGTGTAGAGGGTGTGTGTGTCACGTTGCGGAGACCGTATGGTTGAGTTGGCATCGAGCCCATTTCGATGATCTAATTCGGATACGATGCGCGCGCGCAGTATTGCTACTATCATAATTCTGAGGGTGGTGATAAGGGCGTTAGAGGTTGGCATGGTAGGAGTGGGCATCATCTCATGTGGAGGATAGACCGCGCTATAGTGCGCTCAGGTGCGATTTCGTGTTGCGGGACATAGGTGCTGTTAGAGCACGGAGCATATTGTTTAGTGTATATGAGGGCATCTCCTACGTTAGGGTATATATGGATATTCATTATCGTTTATCGCAAGAAATGAAAGAGCGTCGTGGGTAGCAGATCGGGTGTATTGCAATTTCGCAGATATAGATCTGTCCGTATTTCGTGCGTTAGTGTTGGCTAGATAGAAGAGAGAGAGACTACTCACGCTAGAAGATCTCAGAGATTGAATCAGATCAGTTGCAGAAGTTCCACTAGTAAGGTTAATGTACTGAGTCCGAATATCAGCGAAGGTCACATAGGATCAGGAATCACTCGGCTCCGGTCAGGTCTCGGTCTAACTAGTGCGCGACTGCGCGATTGTGTGAGTCATATATGTGTGTTGAGGTACGATATTACGTAGGCAAGGACGCTCACAGCCGAATGGGGTGTGAGAGAGCAGGAGAATACAGATT